TCTCTGTTCCAGTGCTCAGTCACTGCCCAGGGAAGAAATCCTTCCTCCTGTCCAGGTGGAATTCCTGGGGATCAGTTTCCATCTTTCCTGTTGCTTGGTACTTCTGGTAATGACCTCCCACCTCAGCTGGGAATGAGTCTGGGGGCACTTTGGGGGTCTCTGATGGTTTGTGACCCATCCTAAGACGTGACTTATGGGTGAATGTCCCGATACCTCCTGGGGGCAGCAGCGGCCRTGGAGTTTTACACTTGAGACAATTGTTTAAGGGAGGAGAGCACCATGATAAAAAGCATTTAATTCATCTCACAGCATCTACTTCTCATGGGCCTTGTCCCTTCTCAAAACCAGCTAAACGAAGGTTGGTTTGTTGTGGTCATYCCCTCTGCCCCAGGGTTGTTCTCATGCACATCAGAGGTTTCYCCACCACACATCCGAAAACTTTCCTCCTCCCCTTCAGCTGAGGGTGCAAGCCTGGCCTCAGCAAAGAATTTGTTGCTTTTGCAGCTGATTTTGAATCATTAACCATTAACATTCCAGTCTSTCACACCTGGCTCCCACYCTGCTCCCRGGCTGGTGGAGGATGATGGATGGWRCTGAATTCCTGCCTGGGGCTGTGGATGGAGCTGTTCACTTGGAGTTGTGCTCTGCTGGCATCTCCTTCCACCAGCAGTTCACWACTCAAGGTGATGCCTAATGTATTTTGCCTTTAATTTTTTATTTTTATGTATTTTCTATACCCTTTTAAACATTTCTGGACCCTTTATATATTCCTTGCACCCTTAGCCTACATGCTTGTGATTCTTGTAACTTAATATTCTGACTTAATTTAAAAGTTCTGCTGGGCAGAGAAACCAAACATCYTCCATAAGAGGTCAGCGTGCCCTGTGCTATCTTAAACCTGAAGGCTGGAGCCTTCTCTCTAAAACATTTTSTATAAACTAAGCTCTAGCCTCATTAAAAAAAAAAAAGTTAAAATAATTCAAAAAATAAAATTATTAAATTATAAAATAAAWWAAWTWAAAWKRAAMTTWAAAWTTWWTWAWTYMWWAAWTYYTTYMWTWAAWTTYYTWMYWARRAAWTYYWAAKWAA